TCATTTGATTCAGTTGTGAGTTCAGCAATTGAACTTCCCCTTCTAGATGACTTATAGTTTCAAGGTTTGCCCTTTTTTCAGCCTCCAACTTTATGATGAGTTTTGCTTGTTTCTCGTTCTTCACACAGACTTCAGCACTTCTGATACACAATTTCTTGTAGGTATCAGCCAGTTCTTCAAATGTCACTTCTTCATCACTAGTGTCACTTTCAGAGGTACAAACACTAGTTAGAGCGGTAACTAGTTTGGCAGATTCTTCTTCAGAATTACTTTCTGAATCACAGTCAGACCAAGTAACAGTCATTCCTTTCTTTTGTTTCTTAAGAAAGGTAGGACATTCAGCTCGAATATGCCCATATCCTTCACAGCCATGGCATTGAATACCTCTGCCTTGGTTTCCCTTCTCTTCTGACCTTGGTCTTCTACTGGAACTGTCAATGTCAGAGGGAATGTTATGAACATTAGACCTTGACTTTGGATCTATTCTTTTGATGAGTTTGTTGAACTGTCTTCCAAGCATGGCTATAGATTCTGAAATATTTTCTTCTTCATCCTCCTTGTTTTCAACATCAGTGTTGGATACAAGTGCTATGCTCTTGTTCTTCTTGTCACCATTATCAGTGATCCCCATCTCAAAAGTCTGAAGAGACCCAATAAGTTCATCCACTTTCAACTTGCTGATGTCCTGGGCTTCCTCTATGGCAGTTACCTTCATTGCAAATCTTTTAGGCAAGGATCTGAGAATCTTTCTCACCAGTTTTTCTTCTGACATCTTTTCTCCCAGTGCTCCTGAGGTGTTGGCAATCTCCAAGATGTTTATGTGAAACTCATGAATGGTTTCATCTTCCATCATTTTTAGATTCTCAAACTTGGTAGTCAACATCTGAAGCCTTGACATTTTTACTTTGGAAGTGCCCTCATGAGTAGTTTTGAGAGTGTCCCAAACTTCCTTGGCCAGTTCATATTGATGTACTAGTCTGAAAATGTTTCTATCAATTCCATTGAATAAGGCATTTAAAGCTTTGGAATTTCCCAGGGCTAACTCATCTTCTTCTTTACTCCAATCTTCCTCAGGCTTCAGACTGATTGTCCCATCTTTCTCAGTTATGGTGGGATGGTTCCATCCTTTGTCAGCAGCTCTCCAAGCCTTTTTGTCCAGAGATTTTAAGAAGGCAATCATACGAGGTTTCCAGTAGTCATAATTAGTTCCATCCAGAATGGGTGGTCTATTTCCAAAAACTCCTTCTTTGTCCATAGTGCCAGAAAGTGATATCCCTAGATCTCACCCAGTAATACAGGCAGGGTGCCTGCTCTGATGCCAATTGAAATTCTGGCTGCAGATACTCAATGTCACTTTCAATGTTATGACACCGTATCTGACTTTCTATAAGACAGTAAATACAAAAACAGTAAAGAACACAGTCAATTGTTTACCCAGTTTAGTGTGCAACAACACCTACTCTGGGGGCTACCAAGCCAGGAAGGAAATCCACTATAAGAGATATTAATTCAGGAATAAACCAACCAGTTCATCTCCTTCACTTAAGACCTACCCAATGCAACTTCAATCTAAGTACAACTTAAACCTGAGTTCCTACTCACTCCCCCTCAATCACAGCAGTGATACATAAAAACAATTTGACTAATGAATTGTTGAAGACACTCTTCAAAACATACACTTGATTATGCTTCACAGCTTTTTAATCAAGCAACACAAACACTCTTGCTTCACAGCTTTGAGTGATACACAAACCTAACTTGACTTTGCTTCACAACTTTAGTCAAGAGACATACAAACACTCTTGCTTCAAAGCTTTGAGTGTTACACAACCCTTACAATTAAAAACCTATTCCAAGTCACTTATCACAATGATAATTGCTTGGATTACAATAGTTAAAACTATACAGCTTCTAAATGATCTTCTGTCAAAAAGGGATTACTTTCAAAACAGCAGCTCTATTGAATATATAGCAGCTGCATCTTCAGTTAGGGTTTCCCCAAAAAGCTAGGGTTAATTCCGTTTGACCTTAAGACTAGGTCACAGGACTTTATCAACCAGGTTAGGGTTGAGCTAGGTTAACCCAAAGAAAACGCAGGATTCTGTTCTGGAAAGACTGAGTCATTTTCCTGAAAAAACTCAGAATTAACCAAACTGCAAACCTGTTAGTTCAGAACAGGATGTCTTAACATCTGTTATGACATCTGAATTCCTGTCTACTGATTTAGGTAAATGTGATCATTTTGCAAAATGCTCAGATACACACTCATAAACATCAGCACCTGTATGACAATATTTTTCTGCAAAGGTACCTAATAAATCTGTACCTAATAAACTAGAATGTTATGACATCAGTCATGACATTCATACACATGGTTTTGCCAAAAATGCATGCCAATACCTAAACAACTACAGGGCGTCTGCCTCGACCACATAAAAATTGTAATACATAAAATCTTTTCTTAATTATGTTGTAAACATTAGGGTTTTTCGTTAACAATATTTGCTACAATAAATATTGCACGTACAAGAAAAAAAACACGATATTCCGTCTACGAAATTACAACTGTTAAAACAATTTCATCTGACCCATGCATCATCAACATTACGTCGCTGTCTGTTTTGACTTCCTCCAACCATACATTAGGTCTTCCTGTCGCATGTGAGGTTGTTGTTCGTCTTTGCTGGATCCTTCGAATTTTCCCCCCCTCCGCAATATCTCCATCTAGCCATCACATCAACTCCCGCTTCAGACGCTCCATGGAGTGAATGTGCCAGAATTTCATTTTCATCGCAGGTTTCGTGGCAGAGAAGATAACATAACCATCTCTGGTAAAAATCATGGACGATGTCATGACGCAAATAACAAAGTAAAAAAAAAAGAAAACAGTGCGAGAAAGTGTGAGAAATGACGGAGAAACGGACGAATTATTTATAAAAACAGCATTTTGCCCTAGTTTTGTCCTAGGAGCCAAGTGAGATGGCGCCTCCTCTCACTTTTAAAGTGCATGCGCCATCTCACTTGGATAAAAGAGAGAGGAGGCGCCAAGTGAGATGGCGCCTAGGGCAAAACCATAGGTGGAGGCACCAAGTGAGATGGCTCCTCCTTTGGGGAGTCATCTGAAACATGGTTATTTGCGTAATTTTTTCCGAAACGCGGTTATTTGTGAATTTTTTTTTAATACCTGGTTATTGCAAAAAAAATTCTACCAAAATTATGCAAAGTAAAATTTGTTTAATCTCCATGTTGAATTTGTATGAGTATATTTTATATAGTTTATTATATTTTTACGGGGTGTTGTCATACATTTTATGTTTCTATAAAATGTAAATGTGATCTAATAAAAAGGTTTTAGGTTTATAATTTAACGGGGTGTTATCATATATTACATTGTAGGTTGTAAAAGATATAAATATGATAGAGGTTGTTTTAAAAAATATAAATATGATATAATAAAAAAAATTCTAAAACTGAAATTTGACGAAAAGGTGTCATATATTTTAGGTTTGTAAAAATTGGCTAATAAATTTTTAGAATTAACTCATTTGATTCGACTGAGATTTATTAACACATATGTATTCACGAGTAGATGTGAACGTATCTATTAGATATCAGTTATAGACTGTTCATTTTAATGTTCATCTCTAAGTTAGAGAATCGACTGTACGATTTATTATAAGGACGAATGAATGCTAAAAGTTGATACATATTATTAGCTTATATTTGTAACTATGTAAATGTCAAACAATTAAAGAATAAATTCATATTTTATAAATGCTGGTATGATAGACATATAATGTGAACACAAACGAGACCCGTGCGACAGCACGGATTTTTTACTAATTAGAAAATATAAATAGATGCTAACAAATCAATAAGAACAAATATATCTCTTCTCAAAATCTAAAAGTATTTGTTATATATATATATATATATATATATATATATATATATATATATATATATATATATATATATATATATATATATATATATATATATATATATATATATATATATATATTTAAATTGATTGAAATATTTTGAAAATACCTCATATCATTGTTAGAATAATAATAGAAATGTGAGTGAGGAAATTGTGTCACATTGGATAAAAATATAGATACTTGAATATATATATAAATGAGACAGTCACCTATTATTTTAAAATTTTAAGTGGACAAATAGTGTATGTCTTATAAAAGTGAATAATCGTTATATCAATATTACTAATGTAAACTTCCCGAACAAATAATATCGCGAGCCTTATGTTTTTTTCTCTATCAATACATTCCCTTACAACTTCTCCGACATGAAAGATCCAACATGAAAGAGCAAATGATATTATCCAAGTAATTATGGCAATTACACTTAATTGCATGAGTACTGATAGTACTCTTATGTACTGCTCTTTGGTCTTATACAGAATACACGATCATGAGTTCACGACCAACTTGAACTTTGACTGGAAACAGTTTTGTCTGTCAGAGCTTAAACGCAAATATTCCCTTTCTGAGTTTTCTTTTCAGGTTTCACCATAAAAAAAATCCTCTGAAGTACTAATATAGAGCCAAAGATAATGAAAGAGAGATGGTCCACCAAAAACACACAAACATAACGTCCAATATTATAAAAGCAGCAACTCACAAAACATAATGCTTTCCAACTAAGATAAAGGCGTGTTTGTATATCATAACAAATTTTTCCCTAACTATCAACATGCCTTTAAATTTAGTTGCTAATTTAAGATATAATGACTTTTTAAATAAAAAATAATCAAACCTATTAAAATAAAAAACAAAATAGAAATTCCCACTTCAAAGAAAGCATACAAATCTTACAAAATAAAGGATATACTTTACAATCTAACATTTTTACACAGCTATCAACCGAACTAATTCAAGAGAACAATTTGAACACTAGTATATTTAGGAGGAATTGTAAACGGGCGCAAAAACAAAATAAAACTAATTATATCATGATATTTGTGAAATTAAATTTCACATAACAGTGCAAGCATTTGGATTCTCATCGCTGAAGATCTGCGGTGCTGGTGGAAGGTATGTTTGATAGTATGAATGACATGCAGGATAAGCTATAGGTGGTTGTGCATACAAATCCATTGGTGGATTATAGTAGTATTCATTTTTCTTCATCTCCTCTTCCACTTTTTTCTCTTGTACAACAATTTCCCCTTCTGGATTCTCTTCTGGTTTGGCCTTATTCTCTACTTCTTCTTTCTTCTCCTCCACTTCTTCACTCTTCTCTTCGTTTTTCTCTTCCTTCGCTTTCGCTTCTTCATCCACTTTCTCTTCATTCACAATCATAGCTTGCTTCCCAAATCGCTTGTGCACATATTCAACCAACGTTGCTGGATCATACACTCCCTTCACGGTTACCTCCATCTTCTCTACATCAGTTTCCACCGATTCCACTCCTGCCATATCACTTACAAATTACATATTAAAGAGATCTTCAAATCGACAACAGATAAACAATCTTGTTCAAATAACTTAGTCAAGTAATACTGTCATGGTAACCAATATAAAATAAAGTTTCAAAAATAATAAAAAGTATATAAAAAGAATATAATTCTAGAAAATTTTATAAGTGTGAAATAAATAAATAAATAAATCGAGTACCCTTCATTTTGAGTATGCGTTTTTTTATCTCTTCTGCACAAGCTTCACAATGCATGTGAACTTTAAGAACAGACGTTACAATCTCAGGCTGCACAATTTGAGGCTGCAAACGAGAAAAGTGGTGAAAAAACAGCATCATTCAACGGATTCAAAGGCTCAGATTAATGAAAAGAAAACATCGAAACCGAAAACGAAAACTCACCTCTTCTTTCTTCTCCTCTTCAGGTGGTGCTGGTTTCTCTTCTTCCTCAGCAACTTTTTCCTCCTCAGGTGGACTTGGAATCGGAGAAACAAGCTCAACCTTCCTACGACTCTTCATCTGAATTCTCTCCACAACCTTCACTGGATCCGCTTTCTCACCTTTCACAACAACTTCGTGAGTTTTGCAGTCAGTTATCACACCTTCAACTCCTGGAAAATTCTTCAAACACCGACGAACTTTCCGAGCACAGCCTTCACAATGCATAAACACTTTCAGCAAAATCTCTGCCGGCGGCGGAGGAGGAGCAGCAGCTTCATCTTTTGTTTCCTCCGCCTTGGTTTCTTCTTCCTCAGTTTTCTTTTCTTCCTAAACAAAAGATGCTTAAAATCAGAACCAAAAACAATGAAAAAATAGAACAGTTTGTGAAAGAAAATTAGACAAGAGTTATCATTTGAAATTACAAACCTCTCCCATTGTTGTTAATCTCTATGATTCTGCTTCTAAGATAAGCTTTCAAGAGAGACTCTGCTTTTGCTCTTTCTTTTGTACACTTCTATAATATTTGATATGATTAATCCTATTTATAATCTCATTTTCAAAATTGTATTAAATCTAATACTTTCATTATTTTATATATTTTAAAATAATATGAGTCAAAAGTTTTTTTTATTTATGAATAATAACAATATTAATACATTATAATAATTTAAATTTATAGATAAGTCGCCTAGTCAAATATAAAGAAGAAACAGTAATAAGGGAGTTGGCACAATTAATGTGTTTATTATGTACCCCAGAAAATAATGTATTTTTCCTATATCAAGAAGAAATAACGGATAAAAAGAAAAAAGTTATGGTTACAAGAATTGAATTTTGAATTATAAATAAGAAATTAAAATATATATATATATATATATATATATATATATATATATATATATATATATATATATATATATATATATATATATATATATATATATATATATATATATATATATATATATATATATATATATATATATATATATATATATATATATATATATATATATATATATATATATATATATATATATATATATATATATATATATATATATATATATATATATATATATATATATATATATATATATATATATATATATATATATATATATATATATATATATATATATATAATTTCTATTTTTTTAATTAAATAATGAAAATATTTGATCATGTTTTATTTAAAATAAAAGTGAACAATTTTCTATGTATTAGTAGTTGTAAAGTCCAAAATGCATATGAAAGAAAACGGGATTTAGATTGAAGCAACAAACACACTAATCGTTTAAAGTAATTTTTTGTGTTAAAATAGTTTGTTTGACAGAGACAAGTGAATGTCAAAACGATTTGATTTAGGTTTAAAATAGATAGATTTGATTTAGTTTTAAAATAGTTATTTTGAGCTTTTAGAGTTTTGTGCTTTGGTTTAGGAGCAAACTAACATATATTTATAAATATGGAGTAATCTCTATTTTTGTAAAAAAAAAACTCATTGTATTCATAGAATTTGCAGTTGCAAGTGAATAATAAAGTTTTCTACCGTTTGTGGGCAGAGAGAAACTCTGAAGAAAATACTTTTTTTTCTTTCTTCATCTTTTATTTTTCATTGTCATTGAATGGTAATATCAATCTTGAGCATCAAGATTGATAGAAATTTATCATAGGTTTTGATGGATATCCAACATCTGATATCAAGAGCCCCAATTGAGTGATTCAAGGGAAGAACGATCAAGAACGATCGAGGAAGGAGAAGAAGAAGAAGATCACGATGACGATGAATTATGCTAACAAAATTTTTCCAGCAAGTCTCCCAATTCTTAAAGGAGATAACTATGAGAATTGGTGTAAACAGATGAAGGTTATATTATGTTTTCAAGATCTTTAGGATATTGTGAAATATGGAGTAGAACCACTGGACGAAAGACCTTTAGAAGCGGAAGAAGTGGAATACAAAGAATTGAAGAATTATAAAGCTCTCTTTATAATTCATCAATGTATCAGCCCAAACAATTTTGAAAAGTTCAGTGATGTAGAATCTACAAAAGAAGCTTGGGAGATTCTCAAAAAATCGCTTTGAGGCGCTGAGAAGGTGAAAGAGGTAATGTTACAAACTCACAAAAGAACGTATGAATTACTTCATATGGAAGATAGCGAAAGCATATCTGATTTCTTCAATAGGATTATGAAACTAGTGAATCAAATCAAGACTTGTGGAGAGATGTTAACAACAAGGGTTGTTGTTTCGAAGATTTTGAGATCTTTGACTCCGAAGTTCGACCATGTGGTAGTTTCCTTAGAAGAGTCAAAGGATATGTCATATTTGTCGAAGGAAGAGCTTCAAGGGACGCTTGAATCTCATGAACAAAGAATAACTGAAAGAGCTACAGGCAAGTCGAAGAGTGATGTGGCTCTACAGGCTCAATCAGCAAAAGACAAGAAAGGCAAACGAAAGTGGTTCGACAACAAAGTTAGATATGGATAGAAAAATTTGACTAGTAGAGGAAACCAACACGAAAAAAACGTGTCGATTCAGAGAAGACCATACCAAGGCAACCAAAGAGGTAGTGTTGCGAATAGAGGAAGAGGTGGTGGTAGAAAACTTGACAAGAGTCACATTCAATGTTACAATTGTCAGAAGTATGGTCACTATTATAGTGATTGTCCAAAAAAGCGAAAGAATCAAGAAAGTGATGCAAAGTTCGCAAAGTATGAAGAAGAATAGATGTTGTTGATGGTCACAACAAGAGATGAAGAAAAATTCAAGGATCAGTGGTACTTGGATTCAGGATGTCACACATGTCTGGAAGGAAAGATTGGTTTGTCAACCTAAAATCCTTAATGAAGAACATGGTAAAATTTGCAAATGACAATACTCTAGAAGCTGAAGGTATTAGAGATGTTTTGATTATGAGGAAAGATGGAAAAAGGTCAGTAATTTCCAATGTGTTGTACATACCAAGCTTGAAGAGCAATTTGCTCAGCATAGGGCAGTTGGTAAAAAAGAATTACAAAGTTTCGGTCAAAGACAAGTTGATGAGAGTCGTGATGCAAATGGAAGGTTAATATTGAAGGATCCCATGTCTCAAAATAGAACCTTCAAGATTAAACTTAATGTGATTTAGCACAAGTGTCTTTGGACTGCAGCTAGCAGAGATGAATGGATATGGCATTATCGACTAGGACATCTCAACTTCAGAGACATCAGATATTTGAAAAGAAAAAATATGGTTTCAGGATTGCCAAAAATTGACATTCCAAACGAGGTATGTAAGGAATGTGTGTATGCGAAGCAGCACAATAACAGCTTCAGCAAGGATGCAGGAAGCATGTCGAAGGTTGTCCTTGAAGTCATATACTCTAATGTATATGGATCAATCCTGGTGAATTTGTTTGGAGGTAACAAATACTTTGTCACATTCATAGATGATTTCAGTCGAAAACTGTAGACTTACCTAATCAAGAAGAAAAGTGAAGTGATCAAGGTATTTACCAAGTTTAAATCTATGGTCGAAAGACAAAGTGGTCGAAAGCTCAAAATTTTGAGAACTGATGGTGGTGGAGAGTGTTGCAGCAGTATAGCGGCAAACAAAAAGTAAAGTATTATTTTACCGAGTGATAAAGGTTATATCATATTGTGCCCACAGATATTGGTTATTGGATCTCCGTTCGAAAAATTCTCGCGTTTATGAGTTTGATTTTAAATGGGTTTTTGTATGTAAGGTGCTGAAATTAAAAGTTATACACAAGAAGAATTTCATCATTCGAATAGGATAGAACTCTCGAGTTTGTATTTCGCATACCCCATCAAATAATTAAACTTACTATCCAATTGTATTTAACCTTAACTACTCGTAAATATCATCATGTATTACTCACACAAAGGTCATTTCTAACACAGAGCGAGATATCAACCATGTCGCTCCGTATCGACGATCTCTCAGCATAACACAAAACAACACGGAGGCATTAAGAGTCGATACCTAAGTGATTACTAAGACTAAATCTATCTCTATAATCTAAGCCCAATAGATATTCATCCTAAATCCAGATTCAATTTGTCCATCTCTGCAATGATTCAAACCTAGACACTTAGCAAGCTAACAAGGATAAGCATCAATAAAGATTTGTAAAGAAAGTTGCATACAACACCATGAGAAATAAATATACATATAATCAAGGTAAAGTTACATACAAAATACAATAAATAATGGTTACAAAGATAGGAAGAGGAGAAGAAACTATATTTCTTGTAGTGTCAAATACGATCCATCAAGCTCACGACCCTAGATCATCCATTTGCAGACACAAATGTTGTTGTCTAAGCTCTACTATAAAAAATGAAGGTTGATGGAGTTTGGATAAAAAATAACCAAAACAATGCCCAAAAAATATGTTTTTACCCCTTTTAACGTGTTTCTGACTGGTCCACATCGCCCGGCGACCAAAAAGTGTCTCCCAGCGACGGCTGACAATAAGTTGAAAAACCATCACAGTTTCAGCCATAAGTTGAGAATCGTAACTCCGATTTGCGCATGGTCAGAAGCGTTGGAAAGCTTATTCATTTCTCTTTCTGACAATGCCTAAATACCAATGCTTAAATACCTACAAAAAAAAGAGATGAAATCAATTAAACTCAATGATATTTACATGATAACATAATAAATACACTATAACGTAAACTATACCGAATATACACTAAAGTTGTGGTTTATTGATAAAAAGTAAATGAATTAAGCCGATGAGTGCTAATTATTCACAAATAAATTCACAACAATTTAACACTCATCATAGAGTATGTGTCGAAAGACTTCGACAAATTATGTGAAAAATAAGGGATTGTGCATGGGGTGGTGTCACCCTACACTCCACAACAGAATGGAACTGCAGAAAAAAAGAATTGAACCATCATGAATATGGTGAGAAGTATGTTGAAAGGCAAGAATTTACCTAAAGAGTTTTTGGGTGAAGCAGTGCCGACTGCAACATACATTTTGAACAGATGTCTGACGAAGAAGCTAGAAGGAATTATGCCAGAAGAATGTTGGTCTGATACGAAGCCTAGCTTGAGTCATCTGAAGGAATTTGGATCTATAGCACATAGACATGTGCCATATCAGTTGAGAAGAAAACTTGATGAAAAGCTGAGTTAGATGATCCTAGTAAGATATCATTTGACAGGAGGTTACAAGTTGTTTGACCCAATGAACAATTCGATTGTGATCAGTAGGGACATGATCATAGAAGAGCTTAAGGAATGGGATTGGACTGAAAATGTCAAGAAAGATTCAGTGATAATCTTACTTGAAGAACCAGCAGAAACTCAAGTCGAAAGAGAAGTTCGATAAGAGGAAGAAATTAGAGATCAACCAAGTACAACCAGACCTCGGAGAATAAGACACATGTCTGCAAGGTTGCAAGATTGT